CTTAACCACTGATTTCTAGTCGTGTCCTCTTTTGGAAGGCCAAACAAAGTAGTATCGCTTTCACAACGAAACACAGCGTCACTCACGGTGACCTTGAGTGAGCGGAGGCCGGAGGCTAGAGTGAGGAGCGTCCGGCGGGCTTGCGGCAACCACATGTGACGCGAAGTTGATGTATTCCCTCAGCGACCAGCACGGGTCAGCTCTAGGCATGACGAAGCAGATATCGTCCTCTTTTGGAAGATCAACCAAAATAGTTTTGCTTTCACAACGAAGCACACAGCGTCTTCACGACATGGTGGCGGCGGCAACAACAATACTACAGCGAGAATAAAAGTTACGCCTTCTTTCTTTGCGTGAACATTTGGGCGGCGTTATGCAAATCTTACCACATCGTGACATAGACATGTGGGGGCGTGTTAGAACGAGTCGTTTTAGGTAGGTGTGGCTGACTCTTAACTTTTATAAAGAATATCTCTTTGGATTTGAGACTTTAGTCTTTGCAACTTTACAGATCTTCTTTATGCACCAAGAGCTTGTAACACTCCAAAGAGAAAGGAAAAATTGAAATAGCATCATATGGCCCCTTTAATACCTCATTCGTTCATTCATTCACGCTGCATAAATGCTTTTCTTAGTAAAATCTAAGTAAGAAGTTTTCTTAGTGGAATCTAAATTAAGTGCTTTTTACTTAAAACAAGAAAAATAATCTTAATGCAAATAGAAACAAGATTGCCCCATTGGCAAATAATTAGCAAAATAAGAAAAATCTACTGAGTCCACAGACTAAATACCTTATGTCATTTTTCTTATGTAGAAAATGCATCTTGATTTAAGAATCTTTAGATATTTTGACTGGAAACAACAAGACAAAAATACTAAGTAAGAAAAGCATTTTTTTGCAGTGCAGGTACATTCATTCATTGCACATATTTTCGTCATAGACACTGTGAAAGTGACAAAAACGGCATGTACTTTTATACAGAATCCTTTTAATGAGGAGGCTACATTAATTCGTAGGGAGATACATTTACATCGGGAGAGGATTATTTTGATTTTTTTTGCCATATCCGAATGCATATTTATTTGAGCGGTACCATTTTTAAATGGTAGTTTTCTATATAACATCAGCGATGCAGAGCACATTAGTAAGGCCACCGTATGCAGAGCGGTAAGGAAAGTGTCTCTCGCTCTCACGCTCTTTCTGAGAATTTTTGTGTAGTTTCCTGAGCACAAACCCATTAAAAAAGAAGCTGTTTACTATATGGGATGGAAGGATGCCAGATGGAAGGGTAGTTTGAGATATATATGCCATAACCACCACCACAGCTGTTAAATTTATTTGGTCATCTTTATTTCCCACAAATACAAAAGCAAGTTATTCTTTTTCCTGTTGGATTTTAATATTCTTCCAATTCTTGGTAGGCTAATGTGGCCATCTCCTCTTCATCTGTTCTTCATTATTTTGTGAGCCTTCTTGCTGTTGGCTGAGTAGAAGTCAGATGTTAAATTAATTAATTAATAAATGCAACAGTTTGGATTAGAGAACATTTAATTACATGAAAAGAGCATTAGACTATGTGGAAAAGGCTGCTGCGCACTGAAATAGACACTGAATGATATTTATTTAATATGTCAAATGCTTGTAAAGTTATGTAGCCTACACCCATGAACCATTTATGCTTAAAGCATAAAAATAAACCTGATTGCATTATGTTTTAATGCTTCATGTGTAGCTGGTTTTTTTTAGTTCTTTTTTCTTTTGCCTGTGGGACACCATGATACAATGAATTTAACATTCTGCCAGTTTTTACCTTTGATATTATAACAGTGATTAAGAAAGAATTAAAGTCTTTGTTTGGTGCTGTAGCCATGATGAATCATAATTTCGG